TTGATACAATTTCCAACCCATCTGAATTTTTGAAAGATGATTTAGATTCTTTTTACATACAATATCTACATGACTAAGTTAGCAGTGCTTCAGGGAAGTATTTCATCTGACTCATGAAACTGGAATTTCTGGGGTTCACATCCTTGTAGATACTGCAGAGCCTTGTCATATATTTGGTACTTGAACTCCCTGAGAAATATAAATATCTTTTTGCTCTGAAAATAGACCAGATCTCTAAATATCAGTAAACCAGCATCTACCAGACTTTGAATACTAAAGCAAGAAATGAAAAGTCCTGTAGCAATTTCAGCTGTCTATAAAAGAGACCAAAGGATTTAAAAATGGATATCTAGAAGAAAAACCTGAGGCAGAGTTCAGTCAGCTTTAGTCCGAACCATTTTTAAATAAAATTAAAAAGGAACCACTGTAGTGTTTTGGATGTTTGTGTTTATTGTAAGACCAAAAGCTGGATTGAGTTTAGAAGCTAAGTAATATCACATAAATTCCTAAAAAATTTTGGATAATCCAATTACCTTTCCCAGTTAAACATAATTTTGACACAACCTTTTTAGAGTCAGTGTCTTAATTTGGGAAATTGTGTGGAAAAGTCAGAAAAAAACACGAGAACAATTTATTCACTTTTACCTAATTGACAAAGACTTTGGCTGTCTCCCAGCTTCCCTTTTCAGAGGAAATACATTGACCAAAATGGAGGGGCTGTGGGGCAGGAGGAGAGAAAACTCAGATTTCCTGAATCCCACAGTGGCAGGTACCAAAGCATTGTATTTTGTGTTCCCCATTTGGGGCGTTCTCTCTTTAAACTACATTGGCACAGGCACCTCTGTGATTTTTAAGGATTGTAGTGAACATCTATGGGGCGTTTTGTTACCATGAAAAAGGTGTAAATGTCTGTTATTGATCCATGGGTGCTTCAGGAGAGGGCTTTAAAAATAGAATGAATTCTTCCTTGTTACATTCAAAACTATTTCTACAGGAAATGGTCTCAGTTACGTTTTTAGTGCATCTGGCAGGTTCTTCAGATGTGGGGATTGCAGCTCAGTTGCAGAATTCCTCCTCCAACAAGTGAATTATTAAAGGAGAACCCTCTGCTTTGAGTGGGGTTGAAAAAAATGCAGCTGTTGGACAGGCTCCCCTACTTGATTTTAATTCCAGATGCAAAGATCCATTTATTCTTAACTGTAGATCTGCAACTTTTTGCCTTAATATAAAGACTTCAAAATAAAAATGCAGAATACACTTCGGATGTTATCTGGAAAGCATCCAATAACCCTTAACAGTTCTGGTTAAATACTTTAACTTTCATTCCCTATTGGATTATACTTTCTTACTTTCTCTTCCTCTGTTGTTTTAACAGATTGTCTTTAGAGCTGTTGTTCTTAGTTTAAATGTTTATGAAGATGAGATTACAAATAGCTGCTAATTGGTAAATCCTCGTGATTGCATAATGAGTTATTGGCCTGACTCTGGCATCCCTCTCTGAGGGATACGTGGTATTATTTCTTTCCCTTTGCCATCTTCCAAAATTTGGTGTAAAAAAAGAAAGAAATGCACAAAGCATATTTAATATTTTCTTTTGCTGTCATTGCCATGGAAACATTAAAAGTAATAGGAATTGTAGGAAGATATGAAGATGGAGATAAGGAAGGAGATACAGAGTAAAGAAAAAAGGCAAGTGGCAGTGATTTTACTTGTGAGGCAATATTTATGTATCAATTTATTAAAAAATTGTGTATTGGAAAAGCTCTACTTTTTAGGCTTGAAATGCAGGTTAGTCTGATTAGTTTGTATAAAAATAAGAATATTCTTTCCATTCAGTAGAAATACTGAAAAACTCACTTCAGTTAATGTCTTTTCTGGTGTTTTCATGGTATTGTAACTCTGGTAATGGTGGATATTTACAGCTGAGGAATGTTTCTGGGCTAGCATGTGTTCCGTTTGCTCTTCTATCCTTTTTGTGTGTCTTGGACCGCTGCCCAAACCCTTTGGAAAAAAAAGTCCTTCCTGACAAGTGCAGGGAAGTCGCTGAAGGTGGGATCCTTAAATGTGATTTGGTCTGAAGGACTTTGAGAGTGTATTGATGCTCTTTTCTCGGGTGCGTGAATCTAATCCAGTTTGATCTGCATGCTCTTGCTATAAAAAAATACCACAATTTCCCTTGTAAGCAGGCACTGCCTGTTGTTTTTCTCCATCCAGCAGTCGATAATTTCTCTGGCTCTGCAATATCGAGTTCCAGCAGGTGGCAACCCTGCCTCATGATTTGGGGCTTTGGAGGGTGGATGGCTTCTGCAAAACTCTTCTCATCCCTATCATGCCTGTGATTTACCACTTGGAGAGAATAATGTCCCCAAATCTCCATTCTACGCCTGTCTTATCCTATCATGATGCCTGTTGTCATATTCCAGAGTAAAACATGTGGATCAGTTTTGTCGTCATTGCCATACTCTTCAATCCCATGCTGTGGTTTAACTCTAAAACACAGACAGCAATTCCACTGCATTAAGCTGATAAAGCCAATACTTCCTACAAAACCCTCTTCTTTCTTGTGTTTTTAATAAATAGATGTTACATGACTCACTGCCACCATTTTATTCTGAGAAACTGGTACCTTGTTTGCTGTTTGCTGCTCCAGTGCTGTGTGGGAATGAAGTAGGATGTTGAGAGGATTAGGATGTAGTGAACATCTCTGTGTCACCTCTCCAATCCCCTCTTCATTATCTGTTACAGCCACAGAACTCCCACTGCATCTATTTTTCCTATTTATTTAATCTGTTAAGCAAACCTTCAATTTATCCGTTTTAAAAGATGTTCTGATGTTTCATAAGCACAGGGCAGAACTTGGTAATGTAGGAATTTCTTCTGCCAAAGTATAAAAAATAAATTTAATGACAATGTATTTGTTAGAACCATGTTTTTAAGCATTTAGAAGCCAAAAGTGCATGGTCTGTGTGACATTCTCTTAAGTTTTCTACTTGCTTTGATCCTTTAAGTCATGTTTGGGCTCTGGAATGAGAACCTGCTCCTTCAGAGAGTGAGGACATAAAGCAGAAGAATCCAGGTTTCTGGATAAAGCACTGCTATGGATGTCATGAAGCTGCTATTTTTTGGACCTACTCATACATATGTTATTGTCACAGCCCTTTAAATAGAGTCGGTGTTGCTAAGCAATATTCAAATCATGTAAAGTTCTTCTGAAAGCAGTGAATACCTGTTAACATTCCTTTGGGCTATACTCCCTGATTTACTACTAGTAAATCATGAGTACTGAACCGAGTTCATGCATTTTAACCTGTTTTCCTTTTCTTTGTTGTTTTGTTTTTACTCCAAGAGTTTAAATGGGCTGCTGCAAAAATCCAACCCAGCGAGTCAGAGTAGGGAACCAGTGGGGGGAATATGGGAGGAAGGTACCCAAGTGGGAATGCTGGGCTCATTAATGCACGTTTTCTACCGTTCTGCTCCTTGGATTTCAGACATTTAGAAAGTGGAGATAAGAATTGCCAGACAGTGCTGTTGCCTGGCAGCCTGCAGAAACCATATGATGCTAAGTGAGGCTGCCTGACCCAAGTGAAACAGATATTTTAGCCTTTCTTCTTCCTGCTAATTCTTGAAAGAGCTGTTGGGATACTGCCTGGTTATAGTGCTAAAAATTGCTCCAGTGAAGGGACACATATAGATACCAGTATATTTTTAGAAGTGATGCAATTCATATTTTAGATAGGGTAGTATATTTTTACATTCTTAGCTGGAGATGAAAGGAGATGTTCTCATAAAGAAAAGCTTTATTGCAATTTATGATGGGAGTGTAGGCTGCTACTAAGTTGTGAATAATATAAGTAACCTATGGATATTGAACCGTGTGTTGCATAAATTCTGTTTCTCTGTAGAGCTAAGATTTGGTGTTAGTATTCTTGCTTTTATTTCAAAAGGCATTGTAGTCTTTTCCTTTCAATGAATCAAATCTTTGTGGTGAATCATCCTCTTTAAAGCTTAAGGAGGTTTTTTCCTTAATTTTTATATCAAACACACGCACAAAGAGCAAAATAGAGGAATTCTTATTTTGATATGCTGCATATGAATCTCCTGTGTGTCAATGCAGCTTGTTAAAACGAGATTTAAAGAGATACCTTACTGGGTAAATATGACTTTCTCTTTATATGAGCTAGTTCTACTGAGGAAAACAACAAGAGTTTTAAATTCGAGAAACTAATTTATTAACTTACTTAATGTCTTCTTTTTCTTTTTTTTTCTTTTTTTTTTTTCCTTTTAATTGGATTTGAAGAAATCATTTCCTAAAAAGATGGCAGTTTTAAAGCCTGGTGTTTTACCAGTGTGTAGTAAACCATCTACAGTGGGTCGATGTTAGGAGTAATGATGATGACAGCAGTTTATTACAGAAGTAGGTGACAGCACCACAGTTCAGAGCTCTCTTCTGGTGGGTGCCTCACATACTGATTGGCTCAGTGCTTTTAGGAGGTGATTAATGAGCTTTCTGAGACACTGCAAATATTGGAGTGCATTAGCAAATAGCAAGTTAACAAACACTAGAGGAAGTAGCTAGTGAGGAAAATATTTGAAAGCCTAAAATATGTATTGAATATACATCTTCTCAACATTTGGATTGTTCCTTGGTGCATTTCAATGCAGTTTGTCTCCTGCTTTCTTTTACCAAAGAGAAATAGGCACAGGGTGCCCAGAGAAGCTGTGGCTGCCCCTGGATCCATGGAAGTGCCCAAGGCCAGGCTGGATGGGGCTTGGAGCCACCTGGGATGGTGGAAGGTGTCCCTGCCATGGCAGGGGGTGGCACTGGATAATCTTTGATGTCCCTTCCCATCCAAAAATATTCTGTGAGATGTTGAGTGATCAGCTATTGTGTTCTTCATGAATTCTCTGATATTATCTAATTTATTGTTCTGAGTTTTGAAGTCGAAGATGCTTTATAAAACAAAAATAAAACAGCTCAACCTGAGAAATCTGGATACTGCTGATCTCTGGTTCACTCTCCCTTCTCAGGGTAATTTTTTCCAAAGTTGGAAGCTTGTACTGCTCTTGCTTGGTCGCTGGTAGCTTTGTGGTTGCAGAGGCTTCATTTATGTGACCCTTTATTTGACTTCATTTCCTCTTTCATTTGTCTCGTGGTGTTTATAAAAATTGTGGCACTTCTGTTTCTTCCTTTTCCAAGTCCATGTTTAGATATCCTGGTCCTGGGCTTTTCATTTCACATATTTCAGCCGACAGCATTCTGAGATCCAGTGTGTCACCTGGGAATTAAGAAATGCCAAATGATAGCTTGGAAATGCCAAGTTTTTGTGTTGATAGACTTTGCCTTTTAGCACAAAAATTCTGCCTTGAGGTACTGCTCATTCTTTCATAAGCCATTGAACTCATAAAATTATATTTTTAGCTACTATCTTTCATCATTGCTTTTGTAATTTTCTAACAAGTACACATCAGGTACCATCTTCAGGACCAGTAGCAACATTCTTTTCTTGGATGTGAGAAAAGAAGCACAGAATCAATATCTAATTTTTCCCAGCATACACATCCAAATCTAGTTTTGGAACATGAATCTAAGATGGGATTTTGTTTTTTCAGGGTTTTGAGGGACTAATTTACCTTTTTAAGGACAGTTCTAACCTCTAATCAATTTTTAGTGAAGTTTATAATGTCCAACTCATAAGCAATAAAGTGGTGATATTTCTTCAGGTAATACTAATTATAAGCTTGCTGTTGCATTTACATTTATTTGGACAAATTTTAACTGCTCAAAAATAAGAAATTAGGATTTCAAATACCCTATTTTAAAATTCTTCTGACCCTGATCTTGACAGTTCTTGTTTACTCAATTCAGGATTTCACAAGCCTTGTAAAAGCTTGCTTTGGTCTCAGTGTCTCCTGGTGCTGTGATACTTTGCCATTTACTAATGTTGATACAGCCAGCAGTGGGCAAAAACCACCAGAAAACCATCTCAAGAAAAACATGCATCTAATGCCTGATGGACAAACTCATTCTGTATCTGGAAAAGGTACTTTGTGTTCAGATGCAACATTTACATACCCATTATCACACTTTAAAAGTAATTGCAAAAATCAGTAGTCAATGGAGGTCAATTCACATCATTAATCAGGGTCATTACAGGGAAATGCAGCTGCCTTTGTAATTAGGTAACTACTTTAATAACAAGATAATCTCTAGAGAGAAGGGTTTGGCTATGCTGAGAAGTAAATGCTGCTCCTGCTATTTTTCGATTCAGGTGCTGCTATCCCAGGATCAGTCCCAACCTGTTTAAATTCCAGCCTTTTCATGACCTGGGATCTCCCAAACTGTGCAGCCTCATAGTTTAATGCAGCAGGGGAAGGTATTTAAAGCTGCTTGTCAGAGAGTGAGTCCCTTCCCTGACTCAGCCTGTGATGTCAGTAGCATCAATGAATCCCCTTCCTGGCTTTGAAATGCAAAAAGTGCCCAGCACTGGGTGCTGATATTATCCTGTGAATATTCCAGTGTTTATGTCACCCTGCATTTGGAGTTTTCCTGCCAGAGCTGGCTGTTATTCCCTGCTGGCTAAGGGAGCACTTACCCTCCCAATACTTCAGGTTTTCTAAGAGCAGCACAGGTGATGAGCTCTTTCTTTTTATAGCCTTGCACCAACAAAAGAATTTGGACTCCTGGCACTATTTTGGGATAAAAGAAGAGGATGTTGTCTTCTTCTTCCACAGAACTCCTGTCTGTTTAAGTCAAGGAAAAACATATTGCAGTGCTTGTGATTCTCAGTGACAAAGAAACTTTCTGTAGTGTGTGTGTGTGTGTCTGTATCATGGAGACTAATGAGCCATGTAAACCCCACATTTGTTACTAACTTCACAGTGATTGATCATTTGCAACGTGTGTGGATAATTACTTCCCCAAATAGAATTCCTAATATCATGACAACTCTCACAGCCCCCTCAAACTGATTCACTTGTGTAGCTATGGCAGCTTCTTGTTGTATTGTGCTGCAAAGATTGTCTGATCAGTAAGAAATTGTAATTTATTTGGATAATCATACTCAATGTACGTAACAAGGAAACTTAATGACCTCCTAGTAGTTCTCACCGTGAATTTTATCCTCAGTAGCATCATAGCATTAGGGTTTTTTCCCCAACATTAGCACACAGAAGTGAATTATAAGACTGTCATTACTGTGCTAGCACAGAATCAGACAATACCTTTTGATGGAAGGAACCTGGGGATGGTATCTGAGCAAGTCTGCCAAAGCAAAACTGCCTTCAGTGTATGATGGGGTTGCTCAGGGCCTTGTCCTCTCACTCTGTCTCCAAGGGTGAACTCCAGGGTCTCCTTCAGCAACTTTAGTCCTCTCCAGGAGTGCTTCCCCCTATCCATACTGGGAATCTGCAATAAATAATTAAATCACTTTGTTTTCTGAATTTTCCATAAAACAACCCATCTCTTTTTTTTAAATGAAATGTATATAAAGCATACATTTCCATTAAAGTAATTTTTATTCTAAGTTAATCAGTAAAGAGATACTGGAGGGGTGGAATCCACATGTCTAGATGAGGTGAGGGGAGTTTTTTGGCACTGGGCTGCCTGGATCAGGGGGGTGGGCTTGACACTGGGGGAGTAGTGTCCAAAGTGCTGGTGAAGAAGATGAGGGGTATTGGGTATATGTCACTAGTGGGGAGATTCCAGCTAGACACAAGGGGGGATTTTTTTCCCATCAGGAACAGTCAGCCCTGTGGAATAATCTTTCCAGTGTGAGAAAAAATTTAAAAGGTTTGTTAAAACTTTAACAGAAAATACAACAGAAGACTGAATAAAGTATCACAGTGCTGGGAGCAGAGGATTTTTCCCACCATGTCCTCAGGTTTTGCCTTTTAACCCTTTAGCTCCTCCCAGAGTTCTGCCCATAGACTCCTTTGCTGTCCAAAGTGGTGGAGTTTACTTCCCTAAATATTGGTTGGAGGTGAGTGCTGCCATAATAAGCTGACCCTCCCAAATATCACAAACCCAGGCCACCCCTGCTAACAATGCAAGGGGGGTAAAACACAACTATAGGTATTTAAAACTTCTCTTAACATATATACATGATATTTGCCTTTTAATTGTGAGAGTCAACCATCACATCACTCATCTGTCACACCAGGGAAGTGGTAGATTCCCCAGTGCTGGACACATTTAAGGTAAAGCTGCACAGGTTTCTGGGCCATCTTGTCTAGACTATGCTTTGGCCAAGAAAGGCTGGACCAGATGATCCTTGAGGCCCCAACCTGGCATTCCATGATTCTGTGAAAATATTTGCACTAAAACTGAATGAGGCATTTTGCCATGAGGTTGAAGCAAGTCATGTGTAAATAGCAGACCCTGCTATTCCAGGCTGCTTTTGTACCCACTATGGGTTAGCAATAGTAAACTGATAATGTATTTGAGTGCCATAATTAAAGGCATTTGATTACATCAGCTTGGAACATTGTATATAATAATGATTAAAATCGTGCTGGGGCGCACTCAGCACTTTTACACTTGGATAATATACAATATGGAATGAAAACCTCAGCAGCGGGCTGAGGGATTCAATGTTGCATGCAGGAATACAGAGTAAGCACAATTACAGTGTTCAGGAGAAGACAAGTAATGCATTTCAACACATTTTGCTTTTGTCTTTGCTAAGTCTTCAAAATGAAGCTTCAGATTTCACAAGTGCTGCTTGTAACATGTTCAAGGTTCTTTTAATAGGTGTTTTTGAAAGCATTGAAAGAGCAGAGTGTCCTTTCTATTGTTTGTATGTATTTCACATTCTAAATGAGAAGCTTAGCTGTGTTCTTTTCTTCATCTAAACATCTTGTTTTGTTTGAGTTTCATTCTTTTCTTTCTTGTTTTCAGAACCTGATGTTTATTACTTATTTTGTGCTTTGACTCTAATTTCCCCCTTTTGTCTTGTAAATTACTAGTTCTTGATCTTTTTCATTCTTTGTTTTCCCCCAGTGTTGTTATTGGGCTTTTTTTCTGCTTCTGTTAAGGTCAGGATTGAAGTTCATGACATGATATTTCATGTTTAGACTTAGATGTTTTTTATTTTTTATCTGTATCACATCTTACAAGGTGTGAATTCTATAGTATTTCACTAACAATGTACAAAATGGTTAACTATTTTTCTCTACAAGGCTTTATAAGGCTAAACTATTTAATTAAGAAATGGCACAAATTATTATTTTTTTTAACTCAATTACTACTTGTGTCTTGTATTGTGGACTTTCCTACCTAAAGTCATGAAGAAGGTGAAGAACAACTAGCTACCACCTTCAAACCTCTATCTTAGCTTCACACATATTACTATAGCTTAACACCTTAAACTCTAAGTTTTCCACCATGTGATATTACACACTTCTAATCAAATTCCACACTCATAATCCCAGTTCTGTCATTCAATTTTAGAAGCTTTCTCTCTGCCATCAGGTCAAATGCAGTGTTCTCCTGGGGGTCAGAGTCTGTCAGCACAGAAAGTCTGAAATTCTCAGCATCCAGGACTCCAACATCCCAGTTTCCTTCTCCCCAGAATAGAGAGCATCCATACTGGTTAGACTTAAATTAGTTGAAATGGACTTTGTTCTAATTTAGAGGTCTAAGAGAGGCTTTCCTGTCTTTAGTCAGTAGGATTGCTTTGCTTCCTTCAGTGGTGTCATGTCTGTTATTCTCTATTACGTCTAAATTCCCAAAAAAGTTAGAGAAAGGATGGAAAAGCAATGGGTGTTGAGTTGAACCTTAAAGATATTCAAAACTTGAGACAGGAAAAGGGAATGAGAGCATAGGGACACAGCTGTCAGAAAGCAAACAGCAGAATGGAGCAGAACTTCATAACAGTTTTTGTCTCTACTTTTTTTATTCGTCACCATTTTTTTAAATTCTGTAATATTTCTGAAGCAGTGTGAATGATTTTTTGATACTAATCACCATGCAATTATTTGTTGAGTTGAGGTGACATTTGGGAAATATCTTGCTCATATTATTGGGCTTTTGTCAGCTCAATTCTTATATATGGAACAAGAGCTAACTTTCCTCTGTAATTTTACTAGTACACATCAACTTCAAACTTACTGAATGTGTAAAGTCTCAGAGGGGCCAATCTCAAGGTTCATTTGAGAAGTCGTATCAAACCCAAAGAATTTCCTTGTGCCTTTGAAGTGACAAAGTCTTGGCACCAAAGAAGTGATAGCACAGGCTCAAGTTACTGTGCCAAACTGACCACAGAATAAAATTTATGTTATTCCTGAGTGTAAAGCAAGACTCTTGTGTTAGAGCTGAGAAAAAAATTGATGGAAATTTTTATGAAAGGAGAGGATCTTGAGAAAAAGGAATGAGAAAGGAGTTCCCAAATTGTTTTTCTGTTTTATCTGTAAGAAAACACCTGGGAACATTAATTTCTACCCCATCCCAGTTTTGGAGTCAAGTACCATGACTCTGTTCTTCTTGGTAAACATTTTTCTCTTCACTGTCATGTTGTGACTGGTAGTTTCCACTTGATGCCTGGGAATCAAATCATTGTTATTTTCAAAAGAATTCACACATAATTTGAATTTCTAAGTGCCAGGTGTTGTTGTTATTATGTTCAAAGAACACAATTGCATTTAAACAAGCTGTCACTACAAAACTAAAATAAAATATGAAAATACTAAATAAAAACCCCCAAAGTCAGTGTTATTGCTTGTAATTTGATTTACTGAATTTTATATCCCTTTTCTGGTAGGTGGTAATCTTCTCCAAAATTAAATGAAATATTGTACTTTGTCACAGGAGTATGCATGCAGAAAAAAGCACTTTCCTGGGCTTGATGAGTAATTATTTTGCCACCTTAACCAGGGAATTTAATCACACAGATAAAGTACTGAAATTTTACAATATTAAAAATTTACTTATAGTACATTGCATTTTGATTGTTATTGTCTTTTGGAAAAACCTATTTCATTCATATAATGGTTTAATTCCTTAAACAAATGTGTTTTTGTGAGAACTTTTACCAGCAGTACCTGCAGATATTTTCCATGTCACTTCTAACATTTATGGAAATATATTTCCATCTCAAACGATTTTTAGGTCTCTTAAAATACAGCAGCACATGAGCCTGGAGTGTCCCACAGAGGTAAACAAGGCTGTGCTTGAAAATTTGGGGGCAATACTGAAGTTTGTATCCATCTATCAAACTAAGTAGAGAATACTTGCTCCTCTGCTGACTCCAGAGATAAAAAACAAAGGGCAATTTAAATACATATAAAATAGATAAAAATAGATATATATTAAATAGATAAAAAAGGCCATTTTGTTTTTAAGCAGATGTTTGTAAGAGAGGAACTCATGCAAGGAATGAGTAAGACCAGGATGCCAGAGCTCACCTCTAGGTCAGGGGTGGCTCTGGGTGGTGGAAAAGTCTCTGCTCCAACCCGTGCTTTCAAAAAAAGGCTCAGCAGTCTCTGTTGTTTGGTCTCAAGGTTGTTTATTACAAGTTATCTAAAAGATTTTCTCCTGGGGCTGCTGTGGTTTGCTCACAGCTCAGGCAGAGGCACACACACACCCTGACATCCTCTCTGACTCCCGACTGCTTCTTCTCTCCCCACCCAGGGCTGCTGCTGTCTTTTATATGGTACATTACGTGTTACATGGGTACAGTTTTTCCCCAATGCCTATTACCTATATTAAATGGTGCTTTTCTACTCTAAACCAATCTGTGAGTGCCAACATCACCAAGAACATGGAGGTAAGGAAGAAGAAAGAGGGAGGACAGGGCAGGCCCAAATTCCTCCATCTTAAACCTCTGACCCCCATGTACAAAACCAAAACCCCCCTGTACAGCACTCAAAAATTCTTCCCTCTACTTCGTGACTACTTCTACTCTAATATCTAAACTTTTGTGAATTATTGTTCTTCCTGCAAGGTTGGTAAATCATTCCATGGTTCAAACCCAAAATCACAGCTGTTTCCAGCTGCCTGCCAGGGTCTCAAATGCTTCTGACCTGGACCCGGAACCTGCAAAACTGTCTGAGGGATATTTTGAGTTCCGACACCAGGACACAGCTTTCAGAGTGGGTTAGACCAGACCTTCAGCTCCCTGTCCAGTAAAAGTTGTTTAACAAAGAGTTCAAGGAGCATGGAAAGTGTGGAGTGAGCTTTTCCCTGCTGTATCTTCCAAACTTCCAAAGGCTGTGATTTAGAAACTTCCTGAGTTGAAATTAGCATCTGAATCGCTGCTGTAATAGCCATCTGTGGGCCCATAATCCACTCTTTTTGCTAAAGACTTACTGAACCCACTCATATGTTTGAGCTTCTCTGCAACAATGAGTTTCTGGATTTAATTAGATGCTGTATGAAATAGTAATTATTGTTGTTCATTTAAAATGTCCAACCTGATTATCCTATTTTAGATCTCTTAATTTATTGATTGCTGGCCAAGCTTCCAAATAACCATCTCTTACTGACCATTTTCTTCATTTAGAACTTGAACTGCTGCATCTACTTGTCTCTGAAGAGATGCTAAGCCCTCAAATATATATTTAGCTTTGTCAGTTTTTTCTTTAAAAGAGAATACTCTGGTCCTACATTGTGTATATGATTATCCTTTTAACCTGTCATTTTACATATAATGTTTAGAAACTTGGTGCAATTTAATAAGTTGATTAAAAGAATGTGGAGGCAGTGCTCATATTCAGCTGAATAATATATTTGAGGGCAGATGTTGTGACAAGTCATGCAGTACAGTGTGTTAAATTTAGGTGGACAGTTCCAGAACTGCTTTGCATCTTCTTAAAGCTGAAAAGCACGAGAACAGATTCAAATCCCTACAGAATCATTAAGGTTGTAAAAGACCTCCATGATCAAGTCCAACCTTGACCAAATACCACCATGGCCACTAAATCATGTTGTGAAGTTCCAATTCTGTTTTTTTTTTTTTTCCTGAACACTTCCAGAAATGGTGAGTCCACCCCTCCCATGGGCAGCCTGTTCCAAGAGATTGTCTGCAGCCAAGGATTTTGGTAATTAATTTTCTTAAAATTGCCTTAAAATTAGAGAAAATGGTTCTAGACTGGAGTGTTGAGGTTCCACTGAGGGGATCTACTTTGTTATTGTAAGTTGTTAGTCACAGCCCCCAGCAGCAGCAGTGAAACACAGCAGCAAAGTTTATGCTGATGTCACTCAGTTTGTTGTCTTTGAGTTACCTTTGGTGGAGAACTAGCTACAGCTGAATAATAGTGACAAATCAGGGTGGGTCGGTTTTGTTTGTTTTTAATACAACTCGATAATTACTCTTTAAATTAGATTTTCATTGTAATGTTGGAAAACAATGTCGAGGAAGGAATTGAAAACTTGCAGCAATAAGCACAATGCCTTAATTTTAGCCTGTTTCTATAAAACATGACTGCCATTTTAACAACAAACGGGGATCAAAATAACAAGTGGATGCCTGAGACAAAAAAGGAGGAAGAGTAATAAAGTTACAGCCAGCAGTTTAATGGGATGTGATGGTGGAGAAAATAAGTTTGTGGATTTGACATGCATTCCCTCCATTTCTCCTACATTCATTTGCAGTGTTAGGTACGTTCCTTACATTTCCTTTATCCGTGTGTACTTTTTTGAGAGGAAGAACCTTTAATGTGAGCTGTCACATGTTGATTTGTTATGTATTAAGGTAATTTGCTTTGGCTGGCATTATAGAAATAATTATGGTAGTGTAAAATGACTTGCTGGTCTTCCCAAATTAATTGAAGAGTAATGAGATTAATCATGAGCAGGAGTGAGTCCAACAGAATTTTAATATGGAGGAGCAAAATGGGATTATGTGGAACAGACCATCTTTTTATCCCATTTTTGTTAGAAATAGAAATAGTCTGTCATGGGAGTGGAATTCCCTGGGGTGTTCTGTGGTTGCTAAGCAGATGACATCAAGGGATGAAAGCTCTGCCAGTGATTACATGATGTAGTGCCTTGAGTTTCAGGCATGCATGAAGATAAGAAATTGAGAGAATAAGGGGAAATTGCCTCAGGGTGATCCAGGAGAGGTGCAGGTTGGATTTTAGAAAGAAATTTCTGTGCTGAAAGGGCGGTTGAGCATTGAAACAGGCTCCCCAGGGAAGTGGTGGAGTCACTATCCACGGTGTTCCTCTCTGTGAGGTGGAAGTGTAAAGAGCTGAGGTTGGAGGTGTCCCTAATCCAAATGGGACAGGAATCTCCCAAAATCCCTTTCCTCAAACAGGGTCTGGACCACTCTTTACAAGTTATCACTGGTGGTTTAATGTGGGCAAACTGGTGCAGAGCCATGCATTTGTTATTCTTTTTGTGTGATGAGAAGTGTTCAGGTGAGAAGTACTCAGCTTTTCTTCACTTGCAGCAAATCAATGTGATCGAAAAGTACATGGTGATTTAACAATTTTGGAGACTTAATTTTATTTCAGCTAATCAAACAGGCTAATTAGACAGCTGAATTTCACAGAAATGCTGTCTAATCAAGGGCTTGGGCAACAGGGGATTTGCAGAAATGAGCAGATCTTGTTAAATATTGTCCAACTATGAGATATCTCACCATATAGATATTAGGGAAGACACTTGTCTAACCACAGACATCATTTTGCCATTTTAAGTAATGCAAATAGAAATGTTGTGAAAATGTAGAAATTCATTAGAAGGGCAATAGGTAAAGTAAAGAAAGTGGGAAGTTTGACTTTCCAGTTAGTTGAAGTTTTCCTATTAATGAGGTAGAGCTAAAATCTGAAGGAAAACTCTATCATGGGCTGTTTGTTCTAGAGCAGAGTTTGTGTTAGACATGATTCTAGGTTTTTCCTTGATCTCCTTTTTAAAACATTCTAATTTTCATCTGACAGCAACACACAGCACGGGATGAAAGCCTGAAGAGTGACCTGATGTTATTTTGTACTTTCAGGCTGTGCTTTGAAAAAGAAAAACAGCTTTGGACAAATAAATCAAGTTTTTTATTATAGTAGATAAGACACAACATATTTGAATATTTGATTTTAAGTTGTATTTCTTGTTGTGTCATTAAATGCTTGATCAGCTTGGGTGGTGAGATGTGGAGCAACTCGACATATCACAATGATCCTGAAGTTCTCTTCATAAATAAATTTCAGAGTACTTTAGCAGACTCAGAAATGAAACTGGGTAGTTCCTAAATTGTCAAAGTATGTCAGGGCTCTGAAAATATTATTTTTAGTGCTACTTTGCTGACCTGTCTCTTGCTTGAGCTCATTATGGAGCATTCCCAAGGTGGTTTGCAGAAATGAAGTTTTGCCCTAGACAGCTGCAGTCTCTATCCCCACTTAAAATATCACAAAACTTTATTGTCCTTCCACAAATTACTCTTGTTGGAGATGTTGGGCACCACTGAACATCCCTTTTTGGGAGACATGTGATCTGCAATCCATTTGGGTGGGTCTGAGTCTCTTCTGCAGGTCCCTTGGCTTATTCCCCCTGGGAAAACTGGGACTTCTGTGTGTGTGTGACCCACGAGGTGAGTAAGTGGAGGTAAAGAGAGCACTGGGACAGACTCACCCAAATATACTGGCTCCCAATCACATCAAAGTTGGGTGTATTTTGAATGATTAGACTATGCAGAGGATACCTCAAAAGCTTATGGGGCAGCATTCTTTAA